AGAAAAAAACCCAGACAATACCAGAGAAGAAGATTGGAAGGTCAACCGCGTTGCTTGTGGTACCATTCGATCTTACCTCGCAAGAGAACAACAGTATCCATACACAAAAGCAACTTCTGCAAGTAAATTGTGAAATGTATTGGAGGATAAATTCTTGAAGAAAAACAGTCAAAATAAACTTTACATGAAAAAAAGACGGTTACGCTTCACATATATTCCTGGTACTATAATGCATGATCATATCACCCGCTTTAATAAGTTGGCGACAAATTTGCAGAATATGGACGTGACTTTTAGTGATGGAGATATGACTTTAATGTTATTAAGTTCACTTTCCGATGAGTACGAGCATCTCGAAACTACTCTACTTCATAGGAATGATGAAGTATCTCTCAAAGAAGTTTGTTCTGCCTTGTACATTTATGAACAATGAAAGAGAGAAAAGCAAAAGAGGGGAGAAGGAGAAGCACTGGTCGTGAGAGGTAGTTATCAAAAACCAGATAAGAACAAACAAAGGAAGATCGAAGTCAAGATCCAGACCCAACAAAGATGAATGCGCCTTTTGCCGAGAAAAGGGACACTGGAAGAAAGATTATCCAAAGTTAAAAAATAAGGCCAAACCTAACAATGGGAAGGCTGTCATGGATTCAAATATAGCTGATTGTGATGGCTCTAATTTCTCACTAATTACAACTGAGCTATTCAAACCATCTGACATATGGCTGATGGATTTAGCTTGTAGCTATCATATGTGTCCCAACATGGACTGGTTCGTTGATTTTCAACAAGGAGAATGTAGAGTTATTCACAATGCAAATAACAATCCTCTTACCGCATATGGTATTGGTTCAATCCGATTAAGAAACCATGATGGATTGATCAGAACATTAACAGATGTTCGATACGTGCCGGAATTGAAGAAAAATCTCATTTCTGTAGGAGCCCTAGAGTCAAAGGGGCTCAAAGTCGTTGCAGAAAATGGGGTAATGAGAATATATTCTGGTGCACTAGTGGTAATGAAGGGAATTCAGTGAAATAATAACATGTACCACTATCAAGGTAGTACAGTTATTGGGACAGCAACAGTGACATCCAATGATGACAAGGAGGCAGAAGCAACCAAGCTATGGCACATGCGTTTGGGACATGCTGGAGGAAAATCCTTGAAAATTTTATCAGATCAAGGATTGTTAAAAGGAGTAAAGACTTTCAATTTAGAGTTTTGTGAGCATTGTGTCAAGGGCAAATAGACAAGAGTTAAATTTGGAACAACAATCCATAATACTAAAGGTATTTTAGATTATGTTCACTGTGATGTTTGGGGTGCTTCCAAAATACCTTCGTTAGGTGGGAAACACTATTTTGTAACCTTTATTGATAACTTTTTCCGGAGCGTGTGGGTGTATACGATGAAAACCAAAGATGAGATGTTAGGAATTTTTCTCAAATGGAAGGCAATGATAGAGACTCAAACAGGCAGAAAGATAAAGTGTCTTCACACAGACAACGATGGAGAATACAAAAATGATCTTTACAATTAGATTTGTGAATATGATGACATTTTGAGACATTTCACCGTCAGTAATACACCACAACAGAATGAGGTTGCAGAACGTATGAACCAGACTTTGCTGGAGAAAGTTCGGTGTATGTTGTCCAATGCTAGCTTGGGAAAAGAATTTTGGACTGAGGCAATAACATAAACATTGCTCGTCCTCAAGTCAACCACCAATTCACACTAACCTTGAGCACTTTATTTTCTTTTAAAACATCCGAAGTACACCATACCTATGACTATGGTTGATTACAACAATTATACTTTAGCATATGCCTTCTACACACACTTTCCTTTACTCTGTGTCATACTTCAAAAATTTATTTAACAACAAGACAACATGCCTATAACAAACCTAGCCTCATAAACCGACTCAATATCACAATGCATTCTTGGCTTGAACATTTAACATCATAGAGACATCTAATAACATCACATATCCCTTGCGAAACCATGTGCCCTCACCACAAGAACAAGAGAGTAAGTTGAATCCACACATTCGGATCAAATGCTCAAATATATTTTAAGGACTCACATATATCAAAGAAATTCCTCATTCTCACAAAGACGTCACATGCATGCATAAAGTACTATAGGCATGCCCATTATGTAAACTTTTACTAATGTAGGCTTGCTCGATCTAAAAATAATTATGACTTTTTCATGGCTGTAATGTGGGTTATATGATGGGTAGGATATATTTTTGGAATATTGGCTAGCCCTCCTAAGCACTTTAATACATCACAAAATTAACTTTAAGCACAAATTCCTCAATCCCAACTTCAATTTCACAAACAATATCATCCCAAGAGCTTTCCCTATTTTTCTTTAAGCACTACTTTACTTCACACATACTAGAAAGGATAATATATCAATTTATTCGTCTACATATATTTTTTATTTTTATTTTGTAATTTTTCTCTCCTTTGCTATTCCCGCTAGTAGTGTATTCTTTTGCAAAACGTGTGCACCTTTTCTCTTCCGCTCAAAAGCCACCCAAGTTCCCTCCTTACTTATTCTAGCGCTCATTTTACAATTAACGTGCTTTAAGAGGTAAAAGGATCAAGACAATGGCAACTAAGAACAAAGGGGGATAGGCTTGTAATGTGATTGTCAAATAAAAGTCTGTAAGCTCAAAAGGATTGACTAGGGATAAATTTTATTTGTGGTAGGCATTAAGCTCAAAAAGATCAAAGAAAGCCTAAAATTATTTTTTAAACCAAGCAAAACCTAAAATTTCGCTTCAACTCACATGTCGGGCAAGTTCTAGACTCCAATGCAATGACACGGACTATACAATTTCTCACCATACATGGCACATGACTCACTAAGGACGGTTCCATTTCGATTCTCAAATAATAGAAGTATTCACGGAGCCACAAAATATTAAATATTAAGCACAAAGTGACACAAGCCAAGAAAACGAGACATAGGCGTCAATAGACATGCTATCTAACTCAACAAGGCATCATAAGCATTTCAAACTATTGGGAAGGTAATACACATGCTAGAGCCTAAATATGGTACCATCAAACAAGTCAAAAGGGCGCCTAGATATTTCATCTTCCTTCTTTTATTCTCTAAATTTTATTCTACTCTAAAAATTTAAAAACTATGACACGGTTCAAACTACATCCCATGAAAAAGAACCGAGGCACAAAAAAAAACCACGGGGGATTATTACTACCTAAAAAAAAAAGATATGTTTTTTTTATTTTTCTATTTTTCATTTTTTTAAAATTATTTTTTTGTCAGACTTTAAACCCTCAAGAAAATTGTCTAGGATATCCATCGTCGGGAAAAGTCCAATCTTTTTTCATTTTTCTAAAAAAATATTGTTCAATTAAACTAACACAGCTAAAATAGTATAGAAAGTCTAGGATATTCTCCTCACCCTACACTTAAAATTATGCATTGTCCCCAATGCACACCATACTTATTAAGAGGATAAAAGAAACTCCCTGGTAGGCCAATGGCCGAAGCACTAGCAGCTCATAAGATACTTAGACTTCTCCTAGGCCTGGTCCTTCGTGCGGGTACCTCACACTTAGTTCCAACCATCTGGTTTGCTGTTGCATCCTTTCAATAGCTTTACTTTCTATACTCCTAGAAAAAAATAAAAATCGACACTACAAAAATAATATAATTAATAAAATAAAAATAATAAAATAAAAAAAGCAGTAAAGCTGGATTGCCTCTCAACAAGCGCTTGATTTAACGTCGCGGCACGATGTGAATCACTTTCTGCCTCCACTTCGAACTTATGAATTGGACCCCAAGTTTTGATTCTGCTCTATGATCATGCTCTTGGGGCGATACAAATTGTTGCGAGCTAAAAATTAAATAATTCTTTATGCATTTTTTGGCTTTCAACCGAGAAGTGTCACTTTGCCTAGACGACCTTAAAAATTTCAGAATATAGTGCTCATCTACCTCGTCCTTTGACTCTTGTATTGGCTCATACGGTTCAATTTCCATTTCACCATCTGAACATAATGTAGAGAAGTATTTGGAATGAGGTCCAATGCACTCAAATATATGAACTTCAAGATTTTCAACCTCCTCAACAACAATCACACTAGAGTCAACTAAATTTGTATCTTCAACGTCCCTGGTTGACTCTAGTATTACTTCTTCAATATCGGCATCCTCAAATTCTAGTTGGCTAGATTGTTGGTGTTCTACTCTGACCTCTTCCATGAGAACCTCAATTTGGGTATCTAATTCATGCTTTTCTTGGCTACTATCCATATTATAGGCTTGTTGACCATTAAATGCTTCAACTAGTTGACTCACTTGTGCCTCCAGGTTGCGAATAATAGGGGTGGACATTCGGTATTTGAGTTCGGTATTAGGAATTTCGGTTCGGTATTTCGGTATTCGATTTATCAATTGTGTATACCAAATATCGTACCAAAGTAATTCAGTATGGTTCGGTATTTATTATTTTGGTTCGGTACGGTTTTGGTTTGATACATATTCATATGTCACGTACTGCTAACTGCTAAGTTCTAAGAGACTTAGCAAGCAGAAACAAAATTGCATTGCATTCCAAATTAAGGAAAATCTTTCCTTTCATTTCTGATTGAAAGGAAATGAAATTCAGAGGCATCAACATTCAACGCCACTAATAAGTAATATATTTCCTTTGGACTGCAAAATGCTAATGACTAAATTTAATACTAATATGAAAGGAAAGACTCTGACTAAAAGGAAAACCTTTCCGAAATGAATCAAATCCTGAGGCATCAGCACCACTAAAACCAAAAATGGACTACAAAATCATACTGAAAACTCTGAGCAACAGAATTTCTAACCCAACAACAGAATTTTTAATTCAAATTTATGCTTTACACAGATGCAACAAAAATATAGATGCATCATGCAACAACCACTAACGAGTAGCAGCATCATTAAACACAATGCAACAAAAACAGAGAGGGCATAAACCTGCCAAACAGAATTTAAGTTTATACTAATAAGTAATAACAACTAAAGTTCCATAGGCTCACAAGTCACAACAGCAATATTATGCAAAGTTTGCAAACCTACTGGCTACTGCCATTCTGCCAAACATAAAGTTGTAAGTTTAACTAATAAGCCGGCAAGCAACAACAACATCAACATAGTGCGAACTTCTCTGTTATCTTCTACCACCTCAAAGTGTTCCCAAATATGAGAGCGTACTTTAGGAGCACAGGGCATGATTGAACTTGAACCTAAAAAAAAGAAGATAAAATCATAAGTTAGAATATTATTTTTTGATGATAAAAGATCAAAACTACAAAAGTATATCATCAAACAAATAGAGTATTAAACTCACCACTCAAGTTGAACCTATATATCAAAGTGATCAAACAATGGTAGTAGTGCTTTCATTATTTTCCATATCTAAAGATAATTCGACCAAATATGTCAAATAAATAAACAAGTGTAATATATTATTTTGAACTAAAATACACACAAAAAAATTAAAGCTTACCAAGCTCGAGTTCCTCAAGATACTCCAAGTCTTCTTCAACACTAATATGATTCTTCTCTTCTCTAAGTCAATATTGAACACAAACAAGAGCTTGCACGCATTTAGGAGTCAATGAACTCCTAAATAAATCAAGAATACGACCACCGAGGCTAAACACATATTCCGACGCTACACTAGAAATTGGAATGGCCAACACATCACGAGCCAACTCTGAAAGAATAGGAAATCTAGGAGCATGTATTTTTCACCAACTCAAATTTATCAAAATGTTTCCAAACTTCGGATCTAGGTTCTATGGCTTTTCTTTTCTTGAAATCTTGAGTATCAATTGTGTTGGTGTTGCTATCTTCCGTAATAGGTAATCTTTCAGTTGAATCGGCATCACTTACTCTACTTACATCTACAATCTATACAAAATTAAAACTAATACAAACAGTAAAACACAAATTGAGACTAGATTTGAGTTTAGATATACTGATATACTCCTTATTAATTATTTTCTTAGCAGTAAATATTGCACCTTTAATTATACTAAAGCGCAGATGGAGACACAACCTGTAATACTATTGGCTTAGTTTCGAATCATGTCTCAACAATTACTGCCAGTTCTTCCTGTGTGTTATATGCATGAAAATGAAAAGGGAAGAAACCAGAGATTCCAGTATTCCATGTATACAATTTATTTTTTTAATGGTACTTGCAAAGTGATTCGCATAAAAGCTTTAGAATCTGATTTTGGTTTGGCCAATTTTTCGATCTTTTTAACATTGCGTTCAAAGCAAAGCATAAAAGAATTTATTTATATTTGCCTCACACATCCTGCCTGGTTGCAATTTGCTTGGAATGATATAGAAGAGGTCCTTAATAACTTTCAAAGTACAACAATTTCAGATATTCAATTGTTTATCACATACCTTAGCTCTTAGGCTTATCTAAAAGGATCAACACAAGAATATTTCATCAAATGTTCTGCTCTAACTAAAAAGGCATTCTAAGTTTCTGCATTCGGCTTAATTTCTTAGCAAGTTGGGACGAAATTTGTTTACAGTATATATAGCCTTTTGCACCCAAAAAATAAGCTATTGGTTACAGAATACAAAGTTACAAACTGAAGATTGAAGAATGGAGAAGTTGTGAACCTGTTGAAGAGTTGAAGATTGAAGAATGGAGATCAAAAATGAGGAAACAAGCCGTCACACTTGAAAGTCTTCGGTGCCGAGGTCGTGAAGTCGCCGTGACGCCATCTCTATCGCAGTACTCGCAGTCGCAGCCACAAGCTCACAGCCGATCTGATCTTCACTTCTTTCTTGAGAATTGAAAGAAACCTAATTCTAATTTCAATCCTTAGAAACAAGGGAAAGAGACTAAGAGAGTAATGGACTTGGGATTTGTCTTGAGTTATTGGGCTAGAAATAAACTTAAAATTTTGGACTGGGCTAGGGCAGTGTAGGACTAGGATAGGAATTAGGAAGCACATGGAATACGTTATAAATTCGGTATTTCGATATACCGAAATATCAAAATCTTAATACCGAGGACCATACCGTTATACCGAAATACCGTACCAAATTATACCAAAATACCAAAAAAACTGAAACCGAAATACTGAATTAATTCGGCCCGGTTTAGAATTTGATTTTCGGATTTTATGTCTACCCCTAGGGAATAGTAGCATCTTGCCTTTATATGTGCAGTTGTTTCTCATTATTTTGTTCCACAAGGTACCTTAGCGTATCCTTGATCTCTTTCAGGTCATCATCTCTGGGTTCTTTGTTATTATTAACTTCACAAGAAAAAGAAAAACCATCAAAATAAGGGGTTGGGGGAATATAAGAAATATAAGCACAACCACAAAAGTGATCATCTTGACCACAACACATATCACATACATTCCATACATAAGATTGAGTTGGTGCACATAACTCGCTCTCAGGAATATTTTGACAATTTTGTCACAGGTGGTTTCTTCCACAATACACACAAGGAAGATCAACGGTAGAATTACCAATATCAAAACTCCCATAATTCCACGATGCCATATTTCTCAAATTAACAAGTAAAACAAAAATTTTAAAAATCAAATACAAGAAAAAAAAATAAAAGTTCAAACTTGAAACCTAGCAATATGTACACATACGGCTACACCGTTAGTTTTCCTGCAACGGTGCCAAAAATTTGATCATGCCTAATTATGCCATATAAAAAGGACTAAGAGGTTGTTACAAATATAAGTCGGTTTACAAGTCCAGAGTCGAATCCCACAGAGAACTAAGGCTTAGCTACAATTGTTCAGTATTGCTAAGAAACACAAGTCCAAACGATTTCCTAATTATAAAGATTATAATGTTTATTTCTAACTAATTAATTAACAACTATTATAAAGCAGTAAAATTAAAGGATAGAATTTGCGACAAGACTAAAGAGGTCTAGAGTTGTGATTCCCCCAATTGTCAGAATCCTTCCCGCTATATTTTCTATAATTTCGCCTAAGTAGTCTCTACCGATCGTTAGTACTTCGGGTGTCGTATTTCTCTTCGAAGCAACTACCACAATTTACTAGGCATATTCTTTCAAACTACGCTAGTTGTTCGCCGCTCACTAAGATCTCACCAAGGTTTCGTTATTCCTAATATCACCTTTAAACCCTCCGTATTGATTTCTCACATACGTTAGGAGTGATGTTGTTCAACAACTACCTAAATATGTACCCTTTTCCAAGTAATACATACTAAGTAGGCACAATTAATTGATGGTAATTCAATCAACAATAATAAATATGTAGTTGAACAAGTAGAGAAATACAAAGGCTCAATTATATAAAAACATAACAAGAATGTCCTACAAAAGTATAACGACCCGACCGGTCGTTTTGAGCTCTAGCACGTCATTCAGTGATTTGAGGACTTGAGTAGCTTCACTTCAGGTATTATGACTTTTACGTGTGGTCGGAATCGAATTTCGGAAAGTTTGGAATTGATTTGGGGAGAAAATTCTAAATTCAGAAGCTTTAAGTTGGAAAACTGACTAAGGTTTGGATTTTTAGTAAATGACCTCAGAATCAGGAATTTAAGGTTCCAATAGGTTCATATGGTGATTTCGGACCTGGGCGTATGTTCAGGTCGAGAATCGGGCAGCTAGGGAGTATTTCGATGCTTATTACGTAAAGTTGGCATTTTTAAAGTTTAAGAATTTCTTAAGTTTGGGTTGGAGTAGTTTTTGATGTTATCGATATCCGTTTGGGATACCGAGCCTAGGAATAGCTCCGTATGGTGATTCTGGTCTTAGGGGCGTGTCCGGATGTAGATTTGGAGGTCTGTAGGTTATTTCAGAGTCATTTGGCGAAAGATGGAAATTTAAAGATTTTTGGGAAGTTTGTCCGGGAGTGGGATTTTTGATATTGGGGTCGGATTCCGATTCTGGAAGTGAGAGTAGGTCCGTAATGTCAATTATGACTTGTGTGCAAAATTTGAGGTCAATCGGATTTGATTTGATAGGTTTCGACATCGAATGTAGAAGTTTGAAGTTTTAAAGTTCATAAAGCTTGAATTGGGGTGCGATTCGTTGTTTTGATATTGTTTGATGTGATTTGAGGCCTTGAGCAAGTTTGTGTTATGTATTGGGACTTGTTAGTGTGATTGGACGGGGTCCTAGGGACCTCGGGTGTGATTCGGGGTAGTTTCAGACCAAGTTTGGTTGTTATCCTATTGCTGTTGTTGTTGCTGGTACTGGTTTTATCCTTCGCCAACGCGAAGGGAGTCCTGCGTTCGCGAAGAAGGAGTTTGGACAGGACCATTATGCTCTACGCGTTCATGAGCCCTGTCTTGTGTTCGCGTAAGGTAAACTGGACCTGGGAAGTGTTGACCTACGTGTTCGCGAGAGTGGTGCTGCGTTCGCGATAGTCAGGCCTGGAAAGGCATCGCGTTCGCGAGCCCCACTTCACGTTTGCGAAAGAGGATTTCGAGCTGAAGCTGGTTGTGCTTCACGAATGCGAGGGCATTGCCGCGTTCACGAAGAAGAGGGGTGATTGTGTTGGGCATACTAGTTTTAAACGGGATTTGGGTTCATTTCACCCATTTTTCACATGGCTTGGGCGATTTTTGGAGCTCTTCAAGGGAGTATGTTCATCATCTAATGCAAGGTAAGTGATTCCCACCTATTGCAAGTTAAATACTTGGTTTATATACGAATTTAGGCTTGTAAATTCATGAAAATTAGTAGAAATTTGGGGTTTTGAAGAAAAACCTAGAAATTGATATTTTTGGATTTTGACCATGAAACCGGACATAGAATTTGGAATAAATGATATATTTGAGTTCGTGGTGTTATGGGTAAAGTTTATCTCCAAACTATTTTGGAATCCGGTCACGTGGGCCAGAGGGTGACTTTTATCGAATTTTTGAGCGGAGTTGGAAATTGTTTAAATTGATTAATTACGGGTATTATAACATATTTTGATTGGTTCGCACCTTGTTTGTATAGTTTTGGATCAACAAGCATCGGTTTGAGGTGTCAGAGTGACGTTGGAGCCGGCTATGGAGCTTCTGAGCGAGGTAAGTCTCTTGTCTAATCTTGTAAGAGGGAACTTACCCCATAGGTGATTTAAATTAATAATTGTTGCTAATTGTGGGGGCTACGTACGCACGAGGTGATGAGAGTCCATGCGTAGCTACTAATTATGCTATGTCCGGGTAGTTTAGGACTCAAATTATAAATTACTTATAATGATTGCATCCTTTATTAATTAAAGTACTATAATTATATTGGAAATTGTTAGAGGAAATAGTAAAAGACCGAAATTTCACATACTTGAATTTTTGTGCAAATTACTTGACCGTTAATATAAATTGTACATCCTTATGTGTTAGCCTTGTGATAACTTCTCATTCCGGAGGTTCATAAGAAAATGTCCTCCTTTCTTGTGAAGCGGACCGGACACCTCAACAGTATAGATTCATATATGGATCGTGTCGCATGTCCCTCGACAGTATACACGACACTCTGGATCGGGCCGGAATGACCTTGGCAGAATCATGTGTTATCGTTAATAGTTCGAATATTCACAAGATAACCTTCCACTGATGCCCGACATATTATGGTATTTCTTACTTAATTGGTATTGACACTTGGCGTTTTTCTAAGATATTAATGTAGAAGAAATTTATGTTTTAAAAGAAATAATTGAATGATTTAAACCTTACAGATTTATTCCACTATTGTCGTGTACTTCATATCTGCTTACACTTTTGTTATATTGTTTTATTGGACCTTTAGTAAGTGTCTTTTTCGACCTCTCGTCACTACTTCTTTGAGGTTAGGCTTGATACTTACTGGATACGCGTTGATTTACGTACTCATGCTACACTTGCTGCACAATTTTGTGCAGGTACATGTATGTCTAGAGATCTTTTGGGCGTAGAGGCGCAGCTATCGCGGGGACTTACTGTGAGCTGCATTTCATGTTACAAATCCGTAGCATATAGAGTCTCCATCAGATCCATTTACATACTCATGTCTAATTTATATTTCAGATAGATGTTGCATTTATCATATTTCCTAGTAGATGCTCATGCACTTGTGACACCGGATTTTAGGGGTTCTGTCAGGTTATTTATTATCGTGGATCGTGCAGCTACTTTCATTTACCACGTAAATTCTACTTTACATTGTCTAATTAAGGAAAAATTTTGATTTAAAAAAAAAATTACTAAAACGGGTAATTAAATTGGTAAATCACCGTTGGCTTGCCTGATGAAGGCGTTAGGCGCCATCATGATCCATGGTGGATTTTGGATCGTGACAACATAGTATCAGAGCACTAGGTTCACTTATGTCTCACGAGTCACGAGCACGTCTAGTAGAGTCTTGCGGATCGGTACGGAGACGTCTGTACTTATCTTCGAGAGGCTACAGGGTTGTTAGGAGAATTTCCCTTCTTGATTCCTTTATCGTGCAGTTTGATTCCATTAAGGCTTGTGCCTTTATTTCCTTCCTACTCATTCTTATACGATGTTGAGCGCTCATGTCAATTGGGAATCGAGGAGTTTTAGTGGTACTATAAACGTGGAGCATACTCATTCTTAAACAATGTTGAGCGCTCGTGTCAATTGGGCATCAAGGAGTTTTAGTGGTACTATAGACGTGGAGCAGGATATTTCTCCATGTGTATTCAAACAAGTTATTATTGTCTTCTTGCAAAAGGAGGTTCTGTCATTTCATCTCAGTATCGGTAATTCCTACAGTTTTGAGGCTATGCACGGTGTTGGTGTAATGGTAGGGTGCCTGTCTACGTGTCAAGCTAGTTAATGACTTGAAATGAGGATATCTCAGTGCATGATTTGAAGGTTCAATATTTAAT